GGGGTTGCGTAATGAATCCATGACAGTCTTTCAGATATCGTATGAAATTGATTCCGCACAAGCCAAAAGCTCCCCTCTCCCTTCCTACGCCCTTATCCATATCCCCCGACGACGCCGCTCTCCTTCGGCCGGTCTCTCTTATCGCCTTGTGAAAAAAGCCCACCTCGAACCATCCAAGGGGTCCGGCAAAGATAAGAGCAGACACAAGTGGAGGACGTTAAAAAGTGCAGAGAAAAAGGTCGTGGGGACCACTTTCATCAAGTCCAGCTTTGAACGCTATTTTCAGGTCCTCTTTCTTTAAAAAGCCTTTGACCTGCAGGTTTGGCCGGATCAGAGCGGCTCTACCATCAACATCATCCCATAGAAATATACATCTGCTCCACTCTGATTGTCCAAAGTGTCCGCTACGTGTTGATTTTAGCCTCTAGGTCTCGCAGAAAAAGGGGTGCAGTGGACATACATTTGGGTGCCTAAGCGAGTAAATGCATGAATGAGTGTGTGAGTATCAGGCGCACATTGCATGTCTGGCGGAGAGTAGTGTGTGACTTACCACCCTCCCCCCCTCCGGCCGTCCCTGAGGGCTGAACATGCTCTGACAGCGCCGGTGCTTCTCAGCGTCCCGCTTTCATCTACGGTGCGTGTTGGCTATCGCTCAAAACTCTCTCCTCCCAGACTCACTCTTGCTCCTGTCTCCCTGTGCTCTGTATCTGTCTTTCTCCTTCCTCTCTCGCATTTACTCTTTTTTTTACTTTCTCCCTCTTTCTTTCTCATCTCTCTCCCTCCCTCTCTCATCCCTTTCTTCCCCTCCATCCTCTCCGTCGCCCTCACCAGCGCTCCGACGGAAGAGCTCGGTGTCGCTCGTCTCTCGGATGGCACAGAGAGCAGGCAGACACATGGGAGGGCTGTTTTGTAATCCTGCAGGTCGTACCACCCTGGCATAGGGAACGGGGGAGGGGGAGGGAAGGACTCGAGCGGGCCCCATACTGCTACCTTCCAACCCTATACCTTTTTGCTTCGTCCCCCACCGTCTGCGTTGCTGATGGTCTCTCCCTTTTTTCCCACCGACGACGGGAGGTCTCGCCTTGCTACATCCTCCCTTGCGCGTTGAGGCTTCAGGAAAAAGAGCAGGGGAGGGGAGGAAGGAAGGGAGCGAGGAAGGAAGGGAGAGATTGGGAGTGGAAGTGTGGGAAAGAAAGGGAAGATGAGTGGGTGGCTAGGGAGGGTGAGGAGTGATGCCTCGAAGGGTTGCTGACCAAATCAATGAAGCTTCTTAGCTCAGGGAAATATTTTGAGTGTAATAGAATCAAACGGATGATCAAAAATGAACAATGAGCCCGGTCATGAATTTGTGATGCTGTATACTTTAGGTTACAACCCAGCCGCACAGTTGGCGCCACAGATTGTGTGTGTAAGTGTGTGTGTTTAGAACAGAGAGCCAGGGAAAGATGGAGGTTTGGTCTGAGGATGGATGACCGGCGCTCTGCCTCGCCGCCGTCTCTCCCACAGATGATCAAATTGCCGTCCATTCCTCCTCGCTTTCCCCTCAGTCAGATGCCACTCTTCAACAGTTTTGGACATGAGAGGTTTGCCCAACCACATCGCCACACACAATGTTGGTATTGGACGATCCTGCAACAACCCAGACTGCTTAATACCAACTTTTTGTGATGTTCAAGCATCCAAGGCAACTATGGTCTGGTTCACTACACTCAGTAACCCACCAAGACGATATTTTGATTTTCAAACTACAAAAATGTTTGTATTAAAGGATTGTATTGTGGTCATGGTCATTAAATTATGAATAATTGTATATTGTGTATACAATCAAAGAAATTCCTGAGGAATTTAATTAATTTATATCGTCCCTATAAGATACTTGGACAATGCTTAAAACAATGTTATTTTGTTAATTTTCTTCCGTTTTCCTGTGAATGTCCAGCATTTAGTTAACAAAAGTTCTTTGTTTAGATTTAGGCAAGACGCATTGTTCAAATGGGTATAATGATGATCTCTTCTCTATGGTATTCATAGTGTACAAACCAAAGGTGACAGAGGTAGTTGTATGAAGACGATAAAAAGGAGAGCTTGAGAGAAGATGTTAAATACCTGGTTCTGCTGAGTGAAGCCGATGCGGAAATGTCTTCAACCTGCATTCTCTCTACTGACCAGCAGGGGGCGACTCCTCTGGTTGCAAAAATAATTTAGATTGCATAGAAGTCTATGAGAAAATGACTCTACCGCTCTCTTGATTTATTACCTCAGTAAACATTGTAAACATGAGTTTATGGTCTCAATCTCTAGTTTCAAGTCTTCTTCAATACAGCATGATGTTCATTTAGTAGATTATGGTCCATTTAGAGTCACATAGACCATAAAGAGGAGTATGCTTTATGGTACTACATGTTGGCTACAAAACGGCAGTCGACAAACCAATGGGTGACGTCATAAATGACTCCGTCCACTTCTTATATACAGTCTATGGTCTCACCTCACAACTGCCCACCCAAGTAAGACAGGTAGGTTTTCATACGCTGTTTGACGATCCGTCCAGCGCTTGATTTTCAGCACCGACACCTTATCCTCCATTGAGCAGCCCACTTCATTCAGGCAAAATATAATAAAATGTATGAAAATAAAATATGCACTTAATACTACTTCACATGAATTTCAATGCCATGGATATTTTTATCCATTACACAATATTCTGTATAATTCAGACTAATGATTATTTGGCATCGAAATTGTGCATAATGCAAGTTTTTATACTTCCTTGAAATACTGTTGTTATTTCATGCATTTTTCAATAGACTATAATGCAGCATGGAGAATGGGGTCATAGCCTACTGAGCTCCACATTATTGCCCATGTAAATACATGTAAGCACATTCTAATGTCCTGTAATTGACTTTTTTTACCTATACGTTACAGGAGGCTGATTCTAAATGCTGGAGTGGGATATGCTGACGTGGCTGTGTCAATGTGCCCATGTGTATGTGTGTGTGTTTGAAAGAGCAAAGCCGGTGTGATCGAAATGAATAACCACTGAACCATGAAGGAAGGTGAGCCAAAGGTGTGTGTGTGTGTGTCAGAAGTCTTGAGCTGCTCTCTCCAGCTGGATTCAACTGTCTGCCTGGTTAAGTGTTCTCAATGTGAAGGGCAGACAAAATGGCCGGATCGGCGGAAACGCCAACATAGCACATTGTACACGAATGTATCCGGAGAATTTGTGCTTCTACGTTTCAAACTATTTCGCCTTCAATAAATTAAGAAACTTTCTTCGTTTATCATCGCTCTCAGGCACAAACCTTGTTTGTTCAAAACCGTTGAAAATTGTGTCGCCAAAGTTGCGATTGTGTCTTGTCAGATACTTGGATGTGTCATTATTTTGTTTCATATTTGACCAAAATCAAGCTCAAACGGAGTTACGAAGTCTTTGTCTCGACGTTTCGAGATACATCGATGAGGTCACATCGTTGGCCAGCATGCCGCCTCAAGAAGGAGACAGGGTGCAGCTATGAGGTTTTGGCGACAGTTTACAAATACAAAAATGTAGTCACAAGCTCTTTTGAATAGCTTTCATTAGTTACATATGGGTAAAAAAAAAAACACTGATCTAAAGGGTGACCAATAGCATTGAATTTTTTTGTTTTAAGAAATATTGAAATAAAAAGTTTCTGCCTGTCAGCGACAGTGTATAAAACAGACGTATAAAACAGACTTTGAAAATAAAGCTGTGCATCAGATGTATATTTATTTGCCGTCAATGACCAATTCATCAATACTTCTAATTATACATTTGAGATAATCAGTTCATCATATTTCATCACATACATAATACATTCAAAATATTCTTTTGGCATGTAACTGTCTAGTGTGCAGAGAGAACACATAAGCAAACAGTTTTTGAGGTAAAAGATGATTCTTTCCTTTGTGTTGGATAAAAGATGTGAAATGGGAAAAGGCTCATAGCCTCCTCGGCTCCATCTACCATTTACGTCTTCATCAAAGCAGAAGGCTTCCCGTCTGAACTGATGTCAATAATGAAGTTTTCTTTTCAACCTGCTAATACGCAACGACAGAGTTTAAAAAAAATGTATTTACCTAAGACATATCACTCATCAAACCTATGTGCCATATATGGATATGGATTCAAGGTAGGGCTGCACAATTAATCGAATTTTAATCGTGATCACGATTTTGGCTGCCACGATTAAATGAGCATGATCGTCAGCGATATTGACGTTTAAAATACGTGCTCTGCTACATATCAAATCAAGCTCTTCCTCAACTAACAGTCAGCCGACCACCAGGGGGCGAACGAGTTGGGAGGTGTCATGCGCGCACCCTGCAGCGGCAGCCTCAAAGAAAGTTCTGTCTGCAGTCGAGTAGAAGAATAGAGAGACAGACAACAGAACAGACGGTCACGGGTGTCGTGTGAAAGGTGAATCTAATGTCAGGAGCAGAAGGCGAGGAGCTAGCCCCTCGAAAAGGATCATCATCCGTTGTCTGGAAGTTTTTTGGATTTAGGCCAAGTGATGTTAACCAAGAACAAATCATATGCACAGAGTGCGTTAGAGTTGTGTCTGCGCCGCATAGCAATACAACTACCTTGTTCAACCACCTGAAAAATCACCACAAACCACAGTACGATGAATGCATTAAGGCCAAAACTAACGTTACCTCACTGAATCTCCGTCCATGTCCAACGTCAACCCAGAAAACCATAACAGCGACCCTGCACAGCGCGACAGCGTATCCATCCACCTCCCAAAGACACGCTGAAATAACGGATGCAATCGCATTTCATTTGGCCAAAGACATGTCCAATAAATACTGTGAGCAACAGACATATTTATTTTTAGTTAGCCCTTTATTTTGGGTAAACATTTTATTTATATTTTGCTTCAGGTGATCAGTACCATATACGTTGTATTTTGATGCAGACGCGTGTACGTTAGCTGGAATGTAGCACAACAATGGAAGTGGAAGCAGTGCTCTTGTTCATTTAAACGTGAAAGTGCAATAAAAAGATGTTGTCCCTAAAATTAATGAATAATCGTGATAAATAATCGTGATCTCAATATTGATCAAAAATAATCGCGATTATGATTTTGGCCATAATCGTGCAGCCCTATATCACAGACGAGGTTTTGATTACCTTTCTACCATGTGCCCTCATGATGGGCTGTATGTTTAACTGACAGCCCTCATACATAACTAATTTGATGATTGCAACCAACGTAATATTAAGAGCGAGAAAGTCTGCGTGGGGAGGAGGCCAGGGTGGATGGTTTGGTCAGACCAGCACAGGTCGTACACCCACGAGACTGCTGTTAGTGTCCCGTGTGAAACCAAGTCATCGTTAACTACTTTGCATTACTTTTGATACGTAGCTTATGTGCTTAACTTGAATTGCATACGTAAGGTAACAAGCCTACTCTCTTTGCATAACAAGCCAACTTTTTTAACCCAAATCGCAACTCCAAAACTAAGAATTTTTGTTATCTAATCCTAACCAAGTAAACCGTAAAACTATGTAACTATGTTTCAATTTTGAAAAGACACTATGCATGTAACAAGCAGAAATTGATACGCCGTCCCTGACACGAGAGGGGAACCTAGAGCGTCATAGTTTGAACTGTAGTGCCACTGAGCAAGCATCAGTGTCCTTTGAGTTGGGAATGACAACATGTTGTTACTAAATTCCTATTGAATTTGATTCAAATATTCCAAATGCATTTCCACCATAGGCACTCCTATTTTACATTTCAGTTCCGTTACTGGTGAAAAGAAAAGTATGGTTTGGTTTATAAAATATCAAAAATGAGTCCCATCTCAAAGCCATGATATCTTTAAATGACCCAA